AAAAAAAAAAAGACTCTCACAGACTTTCCTGCCCAGGTTGGCTTTGAACCACAGTCTTCAGATCTCAGCCTCTTGAGCAGCTAAGATTACAGGTGTGAGCCACCGGTGCCCTTCCAACTCTGTACTTCTTCTATGATATATAGAGAAGCTTAGAGCTGCGCATTGGTAGCTCATGCCTATAATCCCAGCTAATCAGGAATTGGAGATCTGAGGACTGTGGTTTGAAGTCAATTCAGGCATAAAAACCCGTAAGACTCTTACTTTCTATTAGCCAACAAAAGGTTGGAAGTGGAGCTATGGCTCAGCCATTAGTAAAAAAAACTAATGGTCAGTGCTCAGACCCTGACTTCAAGCTCCAATACCAGCACAATGAGTAAACAAACAAACAAGCAAGCAAACAAACAGAGGAGCCCTGGAAAAGGCATCTGCCTGACATGGAATGATGGGAACATGACCACTTCTGTAAAAAATTCTTTTTCACCAGACTAAGATTGACTGAACTTGTGCTGTGTGGTTCACTAAGAGTTTTTTTTTTTTTTTTTTTTTTTGGGTCCGGTCGTGGGGCCTGAACTCTGGGCCTGGGTGCTGTCCCTCAGCTCTTCAGCTCAAAGCTGGCGCTTTACCACTGTGAGCCACAGCGCCACTTTCCGGCTTTTTTCGTTTTTGCTTATGTGGTGCTGAGGAATCGAACCCAGGGCCTCAGGCATGCAAGGCAAGCGCTCTTCCACTGAGCCACCTTCCCAGCCTTCTATTAGATTCTTAAGTCCAATTAATCAGCAAAAAAATCAGAAGTAGAGCTGTGGCTCAAGTGGTAGAGCATCATCCTTGGGCAAAAAAAGCTAAGGGACAGTGTCCAAGCCCTGAGTTCAAGCCCCATTTCAAACACCAAAAAGAAAACAAAACAACAAAAAGAATATATAGCAACATCTCTGGCCTCTACCCATTAGATTCCAGTAGCACCTCACATATGTACTTGTTATAAAACTTAAAACATCACTAGACACTACCAAACATTCAGAAGAATTAAGAGAAGAAAGGCTGGAAAATATAGTCATTGTAGTCAATATACATATGTGAAAATGGAACCATATAAGTTAAGGTGATGGGTGGTGTTAGGGGAGATGGAGAGTGATGGAAGGGGTGACATTGATCAAGATACATAGTGGCTCAGTGGTAGAGCGCTTGCCTTGCATGCCTGAGGCCCTGGGTTTGATTCCTCAGCACCACATAAGCAGAAAAAAAAGCCGGAAGTGGCACTGTGGCTCAAGTGGTAGAGTGCTAACTTTAGAGAGCCAAAGAGCTCAGGGACAGCGCCCAGGCCCAGAGTTCAGGCCTCACGACCAGACCCTCCCCTTCACCCCCCCAAAAAAAAGAAAGATACATAGTACTCATTAACTGACTTGTTGAATTGAAGCCCCTTTGTATGACTACTTAAAATTTTTTAAAAATCAGTAAAATGTTCCCATTGTTCAAAATCACTACTCTAAAGCCTCAGTCTCTTTGGCTTTAAAATGAGTTTACTAACATGGAGTCCATTAGATAGTTTTGAAGATTCAATGCATTAATTATGTGCATGAAGTGTCTGTTATTTTGGCAATGGAGAAAGAATCCTTAATATCTGCACTTGAAGAGGGAATTGTGTGTGATCTTGTAGAAGTCCTTTTCTTTTCACCTTCCACTTTTGATCCTTGGCCACTGAATTTCATTCATATAGCTCCTCTCTATTTCACATCCAGTCTCTGAGATACATGTATTCCTTGAGGGAAGCATCAAGTTTGGTACATCTACATTCTTCCACATTATGTACTAGTATATATACTGAGTGACAAATAACAAGTTGCTGATAAATTGCTTTAATACAAAAGAGTCATGCGGCTGGAGGCGTGGCTCCAGTGTTAAAGCATCAGCCAATGAGTGAAAGCATCAGATATCAGTTCAAGTCCCAGTCTCGGACAAAACACACACACACAACTAAGGATCCCTCTTGCTGAGATGCTTCTCTTCACTTCCCCCTCCTTTTCCCCTACTCCCCACTTTATTTACTTCTTTCATCTGTAAACCTTGACTGTAAGGAATATATCTTTGTGGTGTGTGTGTGTGTGTGTGTGTGTGTGTGTGTGTGTGTGTGTATGCTAGAATTTGAACTCAGGACCTGGGTGCTGTCCCTGAGCTCTTTGGCTCAAGGCTAGCAATCTACCACTTAAACCCCGGCTCTACTTATAGTTTTTTGGTGAGTAATTAGAGAGAAGAGTCTCACAGACTTTCCTGACAGGATTGGCTTCAAACCTTGATCCTCAAATTTCAACTTTCTAAGTAGTTAGGATTGCAGGCATGAGCCACCAGCACCCAGCTTCTTGACTCTGTTTTTATTTATTTTTTTGGGTCCAGTTGTGGGGCCTGAATTCTGGGCCTGGGTGCTGTCCCTCAGCTCTTCAGCTCAAGGCTAGCACTCTACCACTTGAGCCACAGTGCCACTACCGGCTTTTTTCTTTTTGCTTATGTGGTGCTGAGGAATCGAACGCAGAACCTCAGGCATGCAAGGCAAGCGCTCTACCACTGAGCCACCTTCCCAGCCCTTGACTCTGTTTTTAATGCTGTGCAATATCCAGCATTTAATGTTTGCTGATTGAATGAAGGAGTGATTTTTTTTAAGTGAATAGAGACCAGCTAGGAAGGTGGCTCAGTGGTAGAGTGCTTGCCTCACATGCATGAGGCCCTGGGTTCAATTGCTCAACACCACATAAATAGAAAAGCTGGAAGTGGCACTGTGGCTCAAGTGGTAGAGCACTAGCCTTGAGCTGAAGAGCTGAGGGACAGTGCCCAGGCCCAAAGTTCAATCCCCATGACCAACCGGAAAACAAAAAATGAATAGAGACAGGAGAAAAAGAGCAAAGTAAAAAATAGTACTCTCCATCAAGTATTTACCTGTCAGATAGGTCAGAGCTTCAAATGGCACCTCTTTGTAATCATTGAGAAACATCTGGATCTGTCGCATGCTAATCCTGAGATCCGATTCATTAAATTCATAAGGAATATTCCAACCTGCAAGAAGCAGAGAAGAATTAGAGGCTTTTGTGCTAAGAGCTCTTAATTTTCACTTGAGAGATTGAGCTGATGAAGTTAAGTGCTATTATGGATCAAGAGCCTCTTTCAGTCTTCCAAAGATCCAGCAACGGGGCCAACTATTAGCCTTGACATTTATTGCCAACCTGGGAGCCATTCTGCCTGAGGAAAACATCCATTCTAAAATCAATTTCCTTGTGGGTCCCCCCATTTGTTAAGGAAGATGTTAACATCCTGAGATTTGTGGAATGAGAATTATTTAGCCTGGCTAGAAGACTGTGGTAAGGCACAGAGCTCCAAAAATAACAAAGTACAGCCAAAGAGCAGAAGCTAGGATCGGGCAACAAAAAAAAGCTGCTTTTGATAATTTCCCTCCCTACATTTTAAGGCTAGTCTGAAAGAAACTGCCACATGCATTTCCCTTTGGTGCTGCCCTAGGCCTGGTGTAAGACAGAAGAGTATGGTGGGCCCCTTCGTTTAACAGAGGAGTTTGATTTCCTCCTAAGCAATCACATTCAGATGAAAAATTAAAACTAACAAAATGCATGTGCTTGCACCTCCATGTTCATTGCAGCACTGTTCACAATAGCCAGGATATGGAAACAACCCAGATGCCCCACCGCAGATGAATGGATCCAAAAATTGTGGTATCTATACACAATGGAATATTATGCAGCCATTAGAAATGACAAAATATAATGGCATTTGCAGGGAAATGGATGGAGCTAGAAGGAATCATGTTGAGCGAGGTAAGCCAAGAACAAAGAGACAAACGGTACATGGTCTCCCTGATAAGTGGATGCTAAATCCAAAATGTTAGGTGATATGACAAAATTAACAGGACTTAAGAAACAAAGAACTTCCACTCATCTGGTCGAACCACTACTAAATATCCCCATGCTGCTGATCACATGTATGGTGTATATGTGTACACCATTATATGTTATAGACTGTGATAGACAATTTGCTCCAGGAAAGTTAGAATGAGCTTGTGACTTTAAATGAGCATCATTATTCCACAATACTGTGAAATCTAGGAACTTATGTAATCACTTAATCACAATAAAAAAAAAAAACCTCAGGGAAGGTAGGGAGGGAAGGGATGGTAGGGGGAAAACAATGGAGGGGGTAACAATGCTCAATAGGAAGTGTACTCATTACCTTGCTCATGTAACTGTAACCCTCTGTATAGTATCTTTATAATAAAAAATTATATATATATATATAAAACAAAAAAAAGAAAAAAAAACAAAATGCATGTGCTGAAAAACAAGACCCAAGAGGGCAACTGGTTCTGAGCCAAACTGCTGCTTGGGTTGCTGGAGGTCTGGCACTTTGAGGAAAATAAGATACATGAAATGTAGAAGTAGAGGGATGGTTCTCCCTCCACCTTGTGCAAGTTATATGACCTGTGGAGCTAATAGAGGCTATTGAGGGTATGAAGATAGAAGGAAAAGAAGTAGAGACTCAAAAGGATTCATCAGGGCTGGGATTGTGGCTTAGTGGTAGAGTACTTGCCTTGCATACATGAAGCTCTGGGTTCAGTTCCTCAGTACCACATAAACAGAAAAAGCCAGAAGTGGCACTGTGGCTCAAGTGGTAGAATGCTAGACTTGAGCAAAAGAAGCTCAGAGACAGTGCCCAGGCCCTGAGTTCAAGCCCCAGGACTGGGGAAAAAATATTTCATCATGAGGACAATTTTTCTACTTATCTAACCTAAAAGAATTATTAAGAATACCCTGTCACTAAGCCTCTGTACAGCCTTTCAACCTAATCAAAGGCAGCCCATAGGTGAGAGAATCATAATCTAACGCCATGATGACATAGAAATTGTATTTAACAATTTGATCATTTGTCCTAATGAGATTGAACTCATGGCAGATCTATTTCCCAGGTATGTTTCTTTCATTGTTATGCATATGTAAAAAGAGATACCTAAAATTTTTATTTTATTGTGCCTTTTCTGGAGTTCAAACTCAGGGCCTAGGCACTGTTCCTGAGCTTTTGTGTTCAAGGCTAGTGGTCTACCACTTGAGCCACAGCTCCACTTCCAGATTTTGGTGGTTAACTGGAAATAAGAGTCTCAGTGACTTTTTTGCTCAGGCTAGCTCTGAACTGCAATCCTCAGATCAGCCTCCTGCATAGCTAGGGTTGCAAGTATTAGCCACCAGTGCCTGGGTTATTAAGAAATTTTAAGCCACTTGGTGACAACTCCTGGAAGAATAGTCATTGTCCCTAAGATAGGAAACACATTGCAAAGTGAAGAGCTCCAGACTTCGCTAGGTAGGGGGCCTCTGAGTTTGACATTGTCTGGGTTATAGGGTGACCTAGATTTAGTAAATAAAAATATACAACAGTGAGTGAAATTTAATATCACATTTAGTATAAGTAAATCCTCAATATTGCATAGAACATGTACTACATTTTCCCGGACACCCCACCTGAGTGGAAATCTGAACACATGCCTGTAAACATACACGCATCTCTGTGATCCTTTTCCTCCCAGGCAACCCATACACATTGCCATGGCTCACCTAGAGGTCCAAAGTTCCTCCTCTCCTGAACAATGGCATGGAAGAAGCAAAGGCCAAACAACAGCTTCTGCCACATCACTGGCTTTGAGCAGCTTTGAAAGAACACCGAATCTGAGATGGGGTCATTGAGATAGGAGCGCAAAAGGTTAGCCCGAAGCCCTTTTGGGGGTTCATTGGTCATTTTGATCCCATTCTGAAGAATGCTGACTGGAAACTTCTCTGATGGATAGCTGGTGAGCCAGAGTCTTGAAGAACAATGCAATAAATTATATTTTAAAACAAGATCAATGAACAATAACAATAGCAACTATTAAATACTATTAGATTCCAACCCATCCTAAATTGTCAATACAAGTCCTTTCATTTCCTTGAATCTTTATAACCATCCTAGAAGGATGGATTCACCTCTCTGCACACTTTACCAGTGGGGAAACAAAGGCAATGGAGAGGTCAGGTTGGTTTATCAAGGACAAACCACTGGTAAACTTGAGATTCTCTTATTCCAAAGGCCCTGCTCTTAAGCTCCTTCCTGGGGCCTAGTCAGAATTTCTTAACATTGTTAAGAGTAACTGGAGTGAGTAAAGCATGATTTCTACCCTCCAGATCCTCACCGCCTTCTTGGTAGGGGAAAATATGGGGGCCAAGCAAGCCGTAAGCGTTAAATCAGACACAAAAGTCCTATTTATTTGTCACAGGGAAGCAGAAATAATGGGCAATGGAGTCCAAGGGAGAAAAGATCCTAATGTATTGGAGGGAGCCTGGAAAACATCAGAGATTAAAAGGGACAGATGATGGTCAAGAGAGAAATCTAGCTCATCAACTTAATCACTTTCCTTCTTTCTTTCTTTTTCTTTCTTTCTTTCTTTCTTTCTTTCTTTCTTTCTTTCTTTCTTTCTTTCTTTCTTTCTTTCTTTCTTTCTTTCTTCCTGGTGTGTGTGTGTGTGTGTGTGTGTGTGTGTGTGTGTGCGTGCACCATTGCTGGGACTTGAACTCAGGTACTAGGCCCTGTTCCTTAATTATGTTGCTCAAGTCTGGCACTCTATCATTTGAGCCACAGCTCCACTACTTGCTTCTTTTTGATGTTTAATTGGAGATAACAGTCTCACAGACTTTTCTACTTGGGCTGGCTTTGAACCAAAATCCTCAGATCTCAGCCTCCTGAGTAGCTAGGATTACAGGTGTGAGACACCAGAGCCTAGTTTATCACCTATTTTTTTCATAAATAATTTTATTGGAACATGTTCCTTCCTATCTTGCCTATGGCTGCACTCACCACTCTGAACTCAGAGTTCAGTATTTGCAACAAAGACAATATGACTGTAAAGTGTAAGTTTTTTTTACTATTAGGACCATTTGAAGATAGAATAAGTTGACACCTATTAAGTAGGAAATGTATTTAAAATGGGCCATGAGTGTAGGCATGATGGCACATGTCTGTAATCCCAGCTATTAGGGAGCCTGAGGAAGAAAGATTACAAGTTCAAGGCCAGTCTGCTCAACTCACTGAGATCCTGTCTGAAAATAAACTATTACAAAACGGGCTGTGGATATATCTAAGTGGTAAAGCTCATGTCTAGCATGCATAAGGTTCTGAGTCTAATACCTAGTACCAAAAGCTATATAAACTGGACTTTGAGAATATGGATAGGTTCTTTCTGTCTTCCTCTTTCTTTCTTCCTCTCTTTCTTTCTTTTAGGTGCCAGTACTGGGGCTTAAACTCAGGGCCCAGGCACTCTCCCTGAGGTTTTTTTTTTTCTCTCAAGGCTAGTGCTCTATCAGTGATCCATCACTTGAGCCACAGCTCTACTACTTCTGGCTTTTTGGCGGTTAATTGAAGATAAGAATTCCATGGACTTTCTTACACAGGGTGATTTCAATCCTTGATCCTCAGATCTGTCTCCAGAGTAGTTATCAGGTGTGAGCCACTGGAGCCTAGCCAGTTACATTTTTAAAATGTAACAAAATTAGATGGGGTGTGATGCATATGTTTAGAAAAATAAAAGTCTACAAAAATTTCTACCTACAGCCAGGTGCTGGTGGCTCCCATCTGTAATCCTAGCTTCTCAGGAAGCTGAGCTCTAAGGATCGTAGTTCAAAGCCAGCCCGGGCAGGAAAGTCAGTGAGACTCTTATCTCCAATTAACCACCAGAAAATTGGAAGTGGTGTTGTGGCTCAAAGTGGTATTGCAATAGCCTTGAGCTGAAGAGCTAAGGGACAGCACCCAGGGGCCCAGAGTTCAAGCCCCATGACCAAACAAAAAATCAATCAATCAATCAATAAAAAATTTCTACCTAAAGGTTAATAGTTTGACATCTTATATTCTAGGCTTTTTATTAATTTATTAATGACATATACACTATGTCATCCTATTTTTTGTTGCTTGTTAAGATAGCAGAGATTTTCAACAGGTGGTTCTTATTCACTAATCCACCTTATTGGCTGGTCTAGAATAAGATAATTCCTAACATTTAAGTTAAAAGACCCCAAGTAGCCCAAGGAATACAGGATGAGGAATAAATGCTTCCTAGATACCACTATTGACGTGTGATTTTCCTTCCTAGACATGTCTGCTGTCACTTCCCCTAACAACTTGCTTCCTTTCTTTTTTTCTTTCTCTTTCTTCCCTTCCTTCCTTCCTTTCCTTTTTCTTACCTCTTTCCTTCTCCCTCCCTCCCTCCCTCCCTCTCTCCCTTCCTTCCTTTTTTTTTTCCTGAACTTTAAAAGATTTTACAGGTGGCTACAATTTAACATGTCCATCTAAGTGTCCAGGACTTCTTGACCAGTCACCCTTTCTTCCCCCATACCAACTGTTTCCTCCTCTAGACTCACATCCCATTTCCACCTTTCTTTATCACATGTGTACATGGAGTATGCATGTGACTGTATTTGTCCCCGGTTCCCTTTTCCATTCATCCACTCTCCTCTCACTAGCTCCCCTCTCCCCCAATTACAATCTCATTTCATTTTGTTAAACTGTTAACTGTTTCAGTCCTGCTTATACCATATTGGGTATATAAAAATAGGACTAACAGCTTACAGTAAACATCTCAGAGTCACAGGTTAACTTCATGGTATTCACTCATTGCTTTGAAAAATGCTGTTCCTAGCCTGATGCCAGAGTGGTTCATGCCTATAATCCTAGTCATTCAGGAAGCTAAGATCTGAAGATTGTGGTTCAAAGCTAGCCAAGGCAGGAAAATCTGTAGGACTCATATCTCTAATTAACTACCAAAAAGCCAAAAGTGAAACTGTGGCTCAAGTGGTAGAGTGCTATCCTTGAGCAAAAAAGCTCAGGGACAGTGTCCAGACCCTGAGTTCAAGCTCTAGGTTGCTCCTTTCTGTTGGAATATACCTCTACCTATCCAAGGTAGTTATCAGACAGCCACACCTTCCCTTTCTACTTCCTTTTCTGGCCCCGTCCTTTTTGTTCATTATGACCCAAGGTCAACATTATTCATCTACAACATGTTTTTTGCTCATCTAAAACTTGTTAGTGGCAGGACTGTGTCTTGCGATCCTTATATTTCCAAAAACCAACATATTATCTGCTGCTTGAAGCTAGGTACAAGAGACAGATGGGCAGTGGGAAGTCGCTCACCTGAATCTGGCGTTGGTGTTCTCAGGGATAATCACCTCCTCACAGATCTTCTCCAGGGCAGGCATCCAGCTAGTAGCCAGATGGCAATTCTGTAAGACTACCCAGGTCCCATCTTTGATGGCAGAGTCGATCATTTTGGCAGCAATCGGACCTTGGCCTTGGCCAAGGGAGATGGTCTGTGTTTTGGAACCTCCCATGTTAAGGTCATCTGCAAACTTCAGCAGGCCTGAGATCAGGGCGAGAATGGTTAGCATAGACCTCATCAGCAGAATAATGCAAGAGGAGATACATTAAAATTTGGATTCAGAAAGAAACTTATTGGCTTCTGTTTTCTTTCTTTTTTTAAAATAAACTTCTCTCTGAAAAAGCTGCAGAGATTGGGCATAATGGCAGACTAAGTTGCAGTCAACTCTCCTCTTGTTGGAAGTACACAGATTTTCCTCCCCCTTCCTTTCGTCCCTCCCTTCCTTTTTCCTTCTTTCTTTTTTCTTTTTTTTCTTTTTGAGATAGAGTCTCACCACATAGCCTACGCTGTCATCCTTCGTGGATACAGTATCCTAAATGCTTGGATTATACGTGTGTGCCAAAACCAGCTCTGAGCTCACACATGGCTTTTTTACTCAAAACTGGTAAAGCCACATTTCTACCTCTGGTTTTTTGTTTCTGTTTGTTTTGTTTTTTGGGGGGGGGCTTTTTTCCCACTAGTTTATTGGAAATAAGAGTTTCATGGAGTTTTCTGCCTGGGCTGGCTTTGAACCATGACCCTCCGATCGTAGCTTCCTGAATAGCTAAGATTACAGCTGTGAGCCACTAGTACCCAGCAAGCATTTGTGTGTATGTGTGAGTGCGTACGTTAGTTCTGGGCTTGAACTCAGGGCCTGGATGCTATCCCTGAGCATTTTAGCTCAAGGCTAGCACTCTACTACTTGGCCTCAGCTCTATTACAGCTTTTTTGATGGTTATTTGGAGCTAAATTTCTTGCTTGGGCTGGCTTTGAACCATGATCCTCAGATCTCAGCCTCCTGCCTAGCTAGGATTATGGGTGAGCCATAGTGCCTGTCTTTTTTTTTTTTGTCAGTCATGTGCTTGAACTCAGGACCTGATCACTATCCCAGAGGGTTTTTTTTTGTTGTTGTTGTTCAAGACTAGTGCTCTACCACTTTGAGGAACCTCAGCTCTACTTCCAGTTTTTAGATGGTTAATTGGAGATAAAAGTCTCATGACCTTTCCCGACTAGGTTGGCTTTGAACCATGATCCTCAGATCTCTGCCTTCTGCCTAGCAAAGATTACAGGCATGAGCCACTAGTGCCTAGCTAGCATCCTTGATAATATATTTATTTCACAGAGCCGGGGATATAGTTTAGTATTAGAGCACTTGTCTAGCACTTATAAGGCCTTAGGTTTTATCTTCAATATCATGCGCGTGCGTGTATGCACGCGTGCACACACACACACACACACACACACACACACACACACACGAAAGAAAAAAAATCTGAGTTTGAAAGAAAGTCTAATCATTAGATATCAAAATGAAGAGGAAAGTCAAACCTGAAGATATGCATATCACCAAATAACCAGAAACCAAATTTAGGAATTTATTTTAGCAGGAATATAGGTATTTTAAAAATAAAATTATATAGTCTCTTTTATATCTTTCTTCTTCAGCAGTAGCTAATGTTGTTAGACTTGTGAATCCTCCCAGAGATATTTTGTGCACTTAAATAAATGCATAAAATTATTCAATGTATATGAATAGAATTCTACAGTTGCCTGCTTCACTTAACAATGTATCTTGTAGATCTTTTTCACATTGGAGAGTGTTTTGCTATTGGAAAAATGTCATACTTTGTTTAACCAGTCTAAAGGGATGTGATGTTTTTATTTTTTAACTTGTGTACTCATATGTACTGAAGTTCTATTCACCATAGCCAGGTCATGGAAGCAGTCTATGTCCAGTCAGTGGATGAATGAACAAAATTCATATTTTATACACACAGAGTAGTATGAGCCATAAAGAAGAACAAAATATTTCCCTTGCAGCAAAATGGATGGAACTGGAGATCACCATGCCAAGTGAAACAACCCATTCTCGGAATAAGTATCACATGTTTTCTCTCCTACAAAATCATTATTTGGGGTGTCTTCATTGTTCCTTAGTTCTTGGGCACAATATCTAAGATTAGGATACTGCTCCCAGATGCAGCAAAAGAGCTACAAAGAGTAGGAAGACAGTAAAGAATGATTTAAGAAAGAGGAATTAGCTAGGCATTGATGGCTCATACCTGTACTTCTTAGCTATTGGGGAGGCTGATATGAGGATAGTGATTCAAAGCCAGGAAAGTTTGTGAAACTCTGAGCTCCAATTAACCACCTGAACACTGGGAGTGGTGTTGTGGCTCAAAGTGGTAGAGCATTAGCTTTAAGCACAAAAGCTCAGGGACAGTGCCCAGGCCTTAAGTTCAAGTCCTAGTACTGGCAGAAAGAAAGGAAAGAAAGAAAAAGCAAGCAAGTAAGCAAGCAAGCAAGAAAGAAAGAAAGAAGGAAGGAAGGAGAGAAGGAAGGAGGGAAGGAAGAAAGGGAGGGAAAGATTAAGAGAGAGAGGGAAGGAGAAAGATAGGGAGGGAGGGAAGGAAGGAAGGAAGGAAGGGAAGGAGAGAGGTGAGGGAGGGAAGGGACTTATACCTCAAGGATTCATTTATGACAGTGGAGTTAGAATGTCTATGGGAAATCTAGCTTTGCAGTGTGTGTGTGTGTGTGTGTGTGTGTGTGTGTGTGTGTGTGTGTGATACTAGGACTTAACTCAGAGTCCGAGCTCTCTCATTCAGCTTTTTCAATCATGGCTGGTGGTTTTTTTTTTTTTTTTGGTACTGGGGATTGAACCCAGGATGTTGCACTTGCTAGGCAAGCGCTTTGCCACTGAGCTACATCCCAGCCCCATGGCTGGTGGTTTACCATTGGAATCACACCTTCAATGTAGTCTAGCATTTTGCTGTTTATTATGGAGTCTTCTGAATGAATCACAATCCCCTACCCTTTTGCCTAGTTTGATTTTAAGTATAAGATTGTTATTCAAATATTCCTTTTAAATTAAAGAAACAACAAAGATAATTAGGACTAAGATGCTAAGTTAGCAGCTGAGTCTAGTCTTGGGCTTGGTGCTCATAATATGGGAAAAAACCCTGGAATTAATGTTCAAGATTTCAAAACAAACGATTTCAACTAGACCCTGGTGGCTCATGCCTGTAATCCTAGTTACTCAAGAGGCTAAGATCTGAGGATCATGGTTTGAGTCCAGCCTAGGGAGGAAAGTCTGTGAGATTCATATCTCTAATTAACCACCAAAAACTGGAAGTAGACCTATGACAAGTGGTAGAGTGATGGCATTGAGCACAAATGTTCAGTGATAGCATCTGGGTTAAGAGTTCAAGCCCTAAGACTAGTACAAAAAAAGAATGATTTCTGCGTTTCTGATGTCCTCTTGAAAAATCAGATGATCTGGTGATTAGGAGTTTACACTTCAAAATATGTCTCCTTTGGGTGTTTCTCATCCATCTCACCCTCTACCAACTGCTTGGTTTTGAGCTGGGCATGATATAATTATAGGGATGCCTGTAATTCCAGCACTAGGAATTACAAGGAATTGCCTTGTATTCAAGGCAAGTATGTGCTAGACAGTGAGACTCTATCTTAAAAAAAAAAAAAAGACTAAGGTCAGGCACCAGTGGTTCATGCCAATACTCCTAGCTACTCAGGGGGCTGATGATCATGATTAGAAGTCAGCCAGGGTAGGAAAGTCCTTGAGACTTTTATCTTCAATTTACCACTAAAAAGCCAGAAGTAGAGATGTGGTTCAAGTGGTAGAGCACTGGCCTTGAGCAAGATAGCTTAAGTACAGTGCCCAAACCCTGAGTTCAAGCCCCAAGACAAAATAAACAAACAAGTGATTAAATCACTCAGCCTTTAAAGCCACTTAAGATCTCTTTTATCAAAGGCATGCTGCTGTCCCCCATCCACACTTTCTGGGTTCTTAATGTTCCTCATATAATAGTCTGTACTTACCTGCCATTGGGTCTGCACCTGGAGACAACACAAAAATCAATGGCGCACAACAACTGGAGTCACTGTAGGATCCCTGGAGATCAAAAGTGGGAGGTTCAATGTATACCTTTCCCATGTGTTCAGCAATGAACTCTCGAACAGCTGGGACCATTTTATCAGGCCGTAAGCATCGGAGGATCACCATTTTCTCCAGTCCTTCAAGAAATTTCCAAGATCCAGGAAATGTCTCCTCATGGGGCCAGGCGGAGTCATAGATCAACTTCCATTCTTGGGTATTTTGTTCAAAATGTTCCATCAGGCCTTTCATTTTGGGTAATGAAGAGGCACGAACAATCTCCGCCCAGGCCTTCTCAGACAACCATTCAGAAGCTGGATTGGGGAAGGGGTTGTCCAGGGCAATGCCGCCTGTTAAAAGGAAGTACCAAACTTCCTCATTAATTTTGTTTTTCTCTTTCATAATGCCAATGGTCAGGAGAAAGGAGAAGAGCAGCTTATCCTTCTCAAACAAAGAGCGGCAGACATTGTTATAGATGCTCAAGGTGAAATGTTCAATGATGTATTGGATGCGTAGATCCAGCTCGTCACTCTTTGGGCTGTGAGCCAGAGAATGTACATAGAGGTTGATGAACCACGTCAGGGAGTACTGGTACATAGGCTCAATGTTGGCCAAGTCAGAGATACAGAAAAAGATGGTGGCCGAGTGCACAGCCACTGGCTTGTAGCCCATGCGAGTCTCATCGATCTGCGTTTCTGTCATTGAAGCGATTTCCTGTTTCTCAGAAATTTCTTCAGAGAGCTGTTTAGAGGAGGACAGCACTTTGATGGCAGTTTCATCCTCAAGGATGTTGCCTTCGGACTGGGACAGGACCGCCAAGATCTTATCTTCTATTTCTTTCAGTTGCTTCTTATTCTTGGCACTTTCCACAATCAACTGGTTCTTTTTCTCTTCTAGTTCTGGTTTCTCCTTGGCTGCCACAATGCCAAGGAGTTGGTCTTGGAGACCCAAGGGGGTGATCATAAAGTTGAGGAGACAGACTTTCACAGCAATTTCGGGGAGGTAATGTGGGTTCCTGAGACGCGTGGTGATGTATAACTTAAAATCCCGGGAATACTCAATAATGTTCTCACCCAGCCGCATGTATTCAACCCCTTGCTGTTTGAATGTTGCCTTCAGCAAGATGGGCTCAATAAAGGCATCCAGTTCTTCTCCAATGTTTTCCAGTAAGACAGGGGTGCCAAACTGCAGGGCATTTTCCAGGGTTCTCACATAGTTACTATCAGAGAACTTGATGATGGACAGTTTATTTGCTTTTTCCATGTTCTTGATCCACTTATTGGCCTGTCCTTGTGGGTCAATCATTAAGGGCCAGCGTCTGGAGTTGGACACAATGATGCCATTGTCAATGGAGAAGGAGTCAACGGGAAGCCCAGCAATCTGCCAGGCACGGATTTTTACAGGATCTCCTAGTGTGTTGCTGAGGCTGAATTCAGTGGAGCCAGGAATGACCCTATCCTTACAGTAGCCTAGCCACTCCTCTTGGCATTGGACCCGATAATCCACTGTGAAGGCACCCAGGTAGGCCACAGTCCCAGAGGACAACAAGACATCCCCTGTCAGATTAGTATATCGGTTCCCCAGCTGCCGGGCAGCTTCGGTCCATCTGTCTTTCTCTCCCCCAAGACCACTGATCAATTTCTCTGCCCTGATCAACTTTTGGGAACAGATCTCAATGTTTTCCTCTAATTCTTTTTTCTTTGTATTCATCTTTTCGAACTTGTCGTTCAGGGCCTGAAGACGGTCTTCTACCAGCTTCAGCTCTGCCCGTTTCTGATTCAGCTTTCCCATCTGTATATCTAGCTTCCCTTCAGCCTCCCTCAGCCTCTCCCTTTTGGGAGCCACCACCTTGGCCACACGATCGTATACCTCCATGGCCCTCACCCACTTGCATAGCCCCTCGCAGGCAGATGACACGTTCTTAATGACAGCTGGCTGGAAGTCAGGGTGATCGATAAACCTTTCCCGGATCCGTTTCATGATCACTGGAGGAATGTTGTCTTTGTCATATGTCTTAAGACTTTCCAAAAACTTCAGATCTCCAAGGATCTTTCTTGAAACACCCCAGAAATCTTCTATCATCTTACCTGATGGGTACAAGAAAGCAAGATAGATTGTATTAACACATTTTAGTTGAGATGCAAAATTCTGTAAGTGTTGCTTCTCAGATTTGAGGGCGAAAATATCCAAGTGTTTCATCATAGTCTAGGAAGCCCTGTCATCTCTGCTCTGCTCTCTGGACATGGGTCGCGAAGGACCGTTCTTCAATTCCTTCATAATCCCACGTTGCTCTAGCACAAGCCCTTTGTGCTATAAGCAGCACCTAGCTGGGTCAGACCACACTTCACCTCTTACTTACTTAGTTTGTCTGTTTAGAGACATGATCTTGTTATGTAGTCCACACTGCAAGTTGAGATCCTCCTGTCTCAGCCTCTTAAGAGCGGGGATTATAGGCATGGCCACCACACCTAGTCAGACTTTATTTTATAAGCCAATTCCATTAAGTTCCCTCAGACTTCTCTATTTATCTTCTACTATAATTTTCTTTTATATTGTAACCAGTCAATTTTTGTTTGCCATGCGTGCATGCGTGTCTGTGTGTGTTTGTGTGTGTGTGTGTGTGTGTCCTGGGTCTTGAACTCAGGATCTGAGAGCTGTCCCTGAGGTTTATGTGTGTGTGTGTGTGTGTGTGTGTGTGTGTGTAGCTAGCAGTCTACCATTTGAGCCACAGCTCTATTTCTGGCTTTTTTTTTTTGAAAATAAGAGCCTCACAGACTTTCCTACCCAGGCTGGCTTTGAACCACGGTCCTCAGATCACAGCCTTCTAAGTAGCTAGGATTACAGGTGTGAGCCACTAGCATCTGGCTTGTTTACTTTCTATTTATTGACTTCTCTCTCAAAGCTGTAAGCTTTATGATGTACATATTTAGATGTCAATAAATATAAACTGAAGGAATGCTACTCCATGGTCCTATTCATAGCTAAAGAGGGAAACAGAAGCCAGATCTGTGGGCATCTGTTTGACATATGTTTTTCTTTTTCTTTTTCTTTTGTTTTTGGGTCCGGTTGTGGGGCCTCAACTCTGGGCCTGGGCACTGTCCCTCAGCTCTTCAGCTCAAGGCTAGTGCTCTACCACTTGAGCCACAGCGCCACTTCCGGCTTTTTTCTTTTTGCTTATGTGGTGCTGAGGAATCGAACCCAGGGCCTCAGGCATGCAAGGCAAGTGCTCTACCACTGAGCCACCTTCCCAGCCCTGACATATGTTTTTCCAAATCTGAGTAGTAGACTAGATGGAAGTCAGTCAGAACTCCTGTGATGAACAGTCTGAGGAAGGTGGGCCATAGTTTCAGAGAAGCAGCTTTCAGGCTTCCAGTTGGATAGGAAGCCATCCATGGACTTCCTAGAAACAAAGCCAGGACCTTATTCTTCTTAGTACCTGCCAATCAAGTGAGTTTTGGTCCAATCTTGAAACACTGCCATTTTCATTGACATGTTAGACAAAACATGAAGTCTTTTTTGGCTTAGGATACTTGCAAAACTCAGGTTCATGAACAAAGTCAGACTTGGAGTCATTTTATAGAACATAAGGTTTCCCATTCTTAAATACAAGCATAGAAACCAGAAAAATACTCCCTGTGAAGATCTTTGTTTGCATGACAGAAAAAAAATGATCTGTCATTTAAACTCAAGGTTTGAAGCGAACTCCAGCGCTCTTTTGTTCCATTCCAATATAGTAATGAAATTCACAAGTTCAATGATTGATATGTACAATTTGTTTACATCCTAGTTTAATGGTAGGTTCTGTACTGATCATCAATCATGCACAAAAGGAACTGACATCTTGACCTAGCAATATTCTGTGTATCACAGCAGGGCTCTACCCTGGCTACACTGCAGAATCACCCAGAGAGCTTTCTACAAAATATTGGAGCTCATGCCAGGCACCAGTGTCTCATGCCTGCAATTCTAGCTACTTAGGCGACTGAGATGTGAGGATCATGGTTTGAAGCCAGCCCAGGCAGAAAAGTCTGTGAGACTCTTTATCTTCAGTTAACTACCAAAAATCCAGAAGTTGAGGTGTCTAGATCAAATGGTAGCGCACTAGCCTTGAGCAATAGGGCTCAGAGACAGTTCTCAGGTCCTGAGTTCAAGCTCCAGGGACAGCACCAAACCTCCTCCTCCTCCTCCTCCTATACACACACACACACACACACACACACACACACACACGAACAAAAACAAAAAATAACTGGAGCTCAAACCAAATAAAATAAATCTCTCTAGAAGGACATGGGCTTCAGCATTCTTTAAGCTCCCCAGGTTATTTTAGGGTGCAGAAGTGTGAGAAGCTCACCGTTGCTCAGGGGTTTCTCTATATCATTTCTTTTGGAAAGTCTACTCCTTGCTGGTTATACTGATGGGCTTTGCCTCTCCACAGGGCGGTTGACTTGAGAAAAGCAGAATAAAAGCGTACTAAGCTAAAGGAAGCAGGAGCCTGAGGAATGTAGGTGAGTGACTGGGGATTGTTAATATTTCAGAAAGAGAGACAGTAGAGCATGTCTCAAGACAGGAGGAATCAAAGGGCAGAAAATGCCAGTGGAAGTGGATGGTTCTTGTTGTTTGGGGGAATGGTCCTGGGACTTGAACTCTGGCCTTGGGCATTCTTCCTTAGCTTTTTTACTCAAGGCTAAAACTCTACTAGTTGAGCCAAAGCTTGACTTTTGGTGGTTAATTGGAGTGAAGAGTCTCACAGACTTTCGTGCCCAAGTTTGCTTTGAACTGTGATCCTCTAGTCTCAGCCTCCTGAGAAGCTAGGATTACAGGAATGAGCCAACAATGCCCAACTGGAAGTAGTTTTTTTTTTTTTTTGGAAGTAGTTTTTGAAGTTCTCATTCATTTTAAAGTAAGTATCTCAATATCAAATTGTGACCCAGCCCACCATCTGCCCTTTTTGAGACAAGGTCTCACTCTGTCTCCTAAGTGCTGGGATTATAAGCAGATACCACCTTGCATGGTCCTCAAATTCACATTTTTAAGAAAATAAACTAGCATTTCACTTGTTAATGCTTCAAGGCTCAATTGTATAAAAACTTTTCTCTATCCTTCTGTTTTTTGTTTGTTTTTTTTTGTCAGTCATGGGGTTTGAACTCTGGGCCTGGGTGCTGTCCCTGAGCTCTTAAAGTCAAGTCTTGCACTCTACCACTTGAGCCACAGTGCCATTTCCAGTTTTCTGAGTGGTTAATTGGAGATAAGAGTTTCACAGACTTTCCTGCCCGGGCTGGCTTTGAACTACAATTCTCAGATCTCAGCCTCCTGAGTAGCTAGGATTATAGGCGTGAGCTACCAGTGCCGGTCCCTTCTGTTATTCTGTTCTCCCCATTTCTTTTCTTGTCTTTTCTTTTTCCAGTCATTGGTCTTGAACTCAGGGCCTTGGCACTTTTCCTGATCTTTTTTGCTCAAGGTTAACACTTTACCACTTTGAGCCATAGTGCTACTTCAGATTTTCTGGGGGTTTATTGGAGATACGAGCCTCACGGACTTTCCTGCCCAGGCTGGCTTTGAACTGTGATCCTCAGATCTCAGCCTCCTGAGTAGCTAGGATTATAGGCGTAAGCCACTGATACGAGCGTCACGGACTTTCCTGCCCAGGCTGGCTTTGAACTGTGATCCTCAGATCTCAGCCTCCTGAGTAGCTAGGATTATAGGCGTAAGCCACTGATGCCCGGCTCATGCTCTCCTTTCTTGTCCTCTTTTGTCCTCTCCTCCCCTCTTCTCTCCTGTCTTCTCCACAGTCTCCCCTTCTGCCCTTCCCTTCTTCTTTCTCTCTCCACTCATCCCTTTCACTTCTTCTTTCCTTTCCTCTCTTCCTCTTCTCTCCTTTCCCTCTCTCCCTTTCCCAGTATCTTTATGTGTATGTATATGTGTGCATGTGCTTGTGTGTGTGTATGCTCATGTACACATGTATATATGCATGCATATTCCTACAAGCCCATCTAGGTGTCTGCATCTCTACATTTCTTGCTCAGTTTCTTACTTTGACTCTGTCTCTCATGCTGTCTTTATTTCTCTGTTTTTAATATGTGTGTGTGTATGTGTGTGTTTGTATGTGTATGTGTGCATACAGACATGTGTGCCGGGCCTGGACTTGAACTCAGGGCCTGGGCACTATCCCTTAGCTTTTTTTGCTCAAAGCCAGTGCTCTACCACTTGACCCATAGCTCTACTTCTGCCTTTCCTGGTGGCTAATTGGAGAGAAGAGTCTCATAGACTTTGCTGCCTGGGCTGACTTTGAATCTTGATTCTCATATCTCAGCCTTTCTGAGTAGCTAGGATTACAGCTGTAAGCCACAAGCACTTCTTTATCTCTCTTTGTCTCTTCTCTGTATATGTCCCTGTGTCTCTTGAAGGTGCACACATATATTTGTCACACACCACATCTTTGGGGTATATGCCTTATGCTTTCGCAATAATTTATTGGCTATGGCCTTGACTAAGGTTATCTTTACCCACAGATATCTGTTCTTTTTCCCCAGATGATAGGTGAGAGGCTGGTGGAGAAGAACCAGTAAGATCTTTGGATGCACATGCATATCCCGGGAACTGTCTAAATTCCTCCACAACTCATCCACCCCAACTAAGGGACTGAAACAGAAAAGCTTGGCATGAGAATGCTTACCCGAACCACTGGGATCCGGTTTCCTCTCTGGTTTCAGCCCCTTCATGACACAGATGCTCTCCATGACCAACTTGACAGGGCCTGGTGGGTTCTGCATTGACTTCACCAGTGAGATGTCCGCTGGGTTCAGGGTGTCAAGTGCGGCAAGCGCGGCTTCAAGCGCTGGCATGGCCTCAGCCAGGTCACCTTCGCATTCGGTCTGTGGAACACAAGGACAAAAGGGCAGAGTGCTTGAGGCAGGCACACTGGGATGGGGCAGAGCTCCACTCCCGGGGGAACAGAGGCCTCCTCTTTAAGGGCGTCTCTGACAATTGATGGCAGCAGAACCACTAGGGTTTGGATGTCCTAGCCATTTGAGCATTCGCGTTGTTTGTAATCATGAACAATTAGACCTTTCTCAGATCAGAGTAATTAGCATTCCTCTCCTTTCAGATTGTTTCTACTTTGAAATCGATAATAAATTGTGGTAGCTCTTTCTGTGCCACAGAGCATCAGGAATTAATTCTTCCTGATTGTCTGTTGGGACCTAGCTTCAAATTCCCTAAACGGTAAAGGTTTAAAAAAAATCCAGGTGCTGTTGGTTCATAGCTGTATCTAGCTACTCAGGAGGCTGAGATCTGAGGGTCATAGTTTGAAGCCAGCCAAGGTAAGAAAGTCTGTGAGACTCTTATCTCAAGTTAATCACCAAAAAAGCTGGAAGTAGAGTTGTGGCTCAAGTTGTAGAGTGCTAGCCTTGAGCATAAGAACTCAGAGATAGCACTCAGGCCCAGAACTCAAGCCCCAGGACTGGCACAAAAAAAGAAGAAAGAAAGAAAGAAAAATCCTAATATTTATTTGTTTGTTTGTTTGTTTTTTGGGGGGGTCCGGTCGTGGGACCTGAACTCTGGGCCTGGGCGCTGTCCCTCAGCTCTTCAGCTCAAGGCTAGCACTCTACCACTTGAGCCACAGGCCACTTCCGTTTTTTTCTTTTTGCT